GGTCAAAGAGTTTATAGAGAAAACAGCTGTACGGGGTAGTGTACCAATATTTGATACCGTGCTCCACACAAACAGGTGTGATAAACCTCACCAGTTATCCAGGTGTTTCACTTCAGTGACTGTGGTGTTGCTGTCTATCTTTGATAATGGTTTGGTGACATGGTATAGTGGGAGGTGTCCCTGCCCATGTCATGGAGGTTGGAACTAGATGATCTTAAGGTCCTTTCCAACCCTAACTATTCTATGATTCTATGATTCCATAGCAGGCACAAAGAAAGAGTCAAAGAAAATTTGAAGTGAATGTGAAAAACAGCAAGATAACTACCAAGCCCTGATACTGAGTTTAATTTAGATTGACACAAAAGAAATTTGAAAACATTTTGCTGAGGATAGAAGCAGATAATTTCATTGATCAAGCTCAGATTTTATGTAGTTCCAAGTATTTCATCAACCAACCATCTGGTTTCATTAGATACCAACCTGACCCTTTTCTTCTTCTAATATAGTTTGTGTTGAACAAATGAATATAAAGTACTTAGGAATTAATTTTCTAACATTGTTAAGAACAAACAGTTATTTACCCAACAGCTAGTCCTGTTAATTAGTAACATCAGAACAGTGAGACCAAGAGATGATCTAACCCAACACACTCTCCGCCAATGGCCAAACCAGCAAATGTCTAGGGAAGTGTACATGAATAAAACAGCCACACAGAGATCATATTGTAACCTCCCAGGATCTCAGGTCAGGAACTTCCTAAGCCAGAAACATTATCTTCATGTTTAAGGGCACTTCGTAAATTTTTCTCTAATTTGCCAAGTCACTTTTTAAAATCATTCAGATTTTCAACATCCACACATTTTGAAGCATGTGTCATGGATTATCTAGGCACTGTAAAAAGAAATAGTGTTTAAATTCAAAATTTGAGTAGACATGCTTTACTTTCAGTGGAGGATACTACATGAAATGACTGAGAGCAGCAGAATGCAGCCTCTGATTCCTCACCCTCTAGGTTAAATACCAATACTGAATATATGTTTCAATATATTGGAAAGTTTGACTACATCATTGATACTTAGCTTCTATCTTCTTCCCATTTTCACTAAGCAGACTGAAAATCAGAGTAACTGTGTTATAGACATATGTGATACTGTAAAAATGAAAGTAATGGTCTTGGAATTTCAGGTTTTGGCTTTCATCTTACTGTATTCATCATTTGAATAAAACCCTGAGCAAAATTCAAATGAAAAAAGAGGCTTATAGTAAGTGGAAGCAAGGAGAGGTGGCCTGGGAAGAGTACAGGGATGTTGTGCGGGAAGCTAGGGACCAGGTTAGGAAAGCTAAGGCCCAGTTAGAATTAAACTTTGCTAGGGGTGTTAAGGATAACAGGAGGGGATTCTACAGGTACATAGCAAATAAAAAACAGACTAGGAAGAACGTAGGCCCCCTCAGGAAGCTCTCGGGAGAACTGGCTACACAGGATTTGGAGAAGGCTGAGGTTCTGAATGACTTCCTTGCCTCGGTCTTCACTGGCAAAGGCTCTGACCACACCAATCGAGTCTTGGAAGGCAGATGCAGGGACTGTGAGAATGAAGACCTTGGGCCCACTGTAGGAGAGGATCAGGTTTGAGACCATCTTAAGAACCTGAATGTGCACAGGTCCATGGGAGCTGACGAAATCCATCCGTGGGTCCTGAAGGAGCTGGCGAACAAAGGTACTAAGCCACTGTCCATCATATTTGGGAAACCATGGCAGTCAGGTGAAGTTCCCGATGACTGGAAAAAGGGAAATACAACCCCCATTTTCAAGAAGGGAAAATGGAAGACCCAGGGAACTACAGACCAGTCAGTCTCACCTCTGTGCCTGGCAAAATCTTGGAGCAGGTACTCCTGGAAAGCATGGTAAAGCACATGGAAAACAATGAGGTGGTTCATGACAGTCAACATGGCTTCACTAAGGGGAAATCCTGCCTGAACCAATTTGGTGGCCTTCTATGATGGGGCTACACAACTGATGGATAGGGGCAAAGCAGCTGATTTCAACTGCCTGGACTTGCGCAAAGCATTGGACACTGTCCCGCACAACGTCCTTGTCTCTAAACTGGAGAGACATCAACTTGATGGATGGACTACTTGGTGAATAAAAAATTCACACACGAAAAGAATTGCGGTCACAGGCTCATTGTCCAGCTGGAGACCGGTAACGAGTGATGTCCCTCAGGGATCGGTGTTGGGACCAGTCTTGTTTAACATCTTTGTCGCTGACATGGACAGTGGGATTGCGTGCACCCTCAGCAAGTTTGCCGATGACACCAAATTGTGTGGTTCAGTTGATACCCTGGAGGGAAGGAATGCCATCCAGAGGGACCTTGACACACTTGTGAGGTGGGCTGATGCCAACCTCATGAAGTTTAACCATGCCAAGTGTAAGGTCCTACACCTGGGTCGGAGCAATCCCAGCCACAGCTACAGGTTGGGCAGAGAAGAGATTCAGAGCAGCCCTGCGGAGAAGGACTTGGAGGTTTTGATTGGTGAGAAAATGAACATGAGCCAGCAGTGTGTGCTTGCAGCCCAGAAAGCCAACTGTATCCTGGGCTGCATCAAAAGGAGCGTGACCAGCAGGTCGAAGGAGGGATCCTGCCCCTTTACTCTGCTCTTATGAGACCCAACCTGGAGTACTGTGTACAGTTCTGGTGTCCTCAACATAAAAAGGACATGAAACTGTTGGAACAAGTCCAGAGAAGGGCCATGAGGATGATCAGGGGACTGGAGCACCTCCCGTATGAAGACAGGCTGAGGAAGTTGGGGCTGTTCAGCCTGGAGAAGAGAAGGCTGTGTGGAGACCTCATAGCAGCCTTCCAGTATCTGAAAGGGGCCTATAGGGATGCTGGAGAGGGACTCTTCATTAGGGACTGTAGCTACAGGACAAAGGGTAACGGGTTAAAACTTAAACAGGGGAAGTTTAGATTGGATATAAGGAGGAAATTCTTTCCTGTTAGGGTGGTGAGGCCCTGGAATGGGTTGCCCAGGGAGGTTGTGAATGCTCCATCCCTGGCAGTGTTCAAGACCAGGTTGGATGAGGCCTTGGGTGAGATGGTTTAGTGTGAGGTGTCCCTGCCCATGGCAGGGTGGTTGGAACTAGATGATCTTAAGGTCCTTTCCAACCCTAACTATTCTATGATTCTATGATCTTGATGAGATAATACAACACATAAGAAGGATATGATTAATAGTGAATGGACGGAAATCATAATTAGCAGATTTGTCATAATGCAGATGTCTTTACAGCCTAAAGACCATCTCAAAATTTCACTTTGTTATGTTTTGTGTTTGGTTTTTTTTTCAATAAAATTTAGATATGTTGTAGAACAGCCAACTTATCCAGCAAAACCTTTTTATTTTAGGTTTTCATTATTTCATTAAGATATGCAGCAGCAATACCTCTGAGTGTTACACAAGAAAAAAAAGAGGGTTAGGCTTTTAGGAAAGTGCTGATAGCCATGATCTCAGTGTTCAGGCTCTGTCTGGATACTGACACTATACAAGCTTGTCTAATTAATACCTCCACAAAAAATATGGAAAAGGGCAACACAAATAGCTTCCTGAACTTGTGAGGCCAGACATGGGTTGAGTTTCTATAGTTTTAAACATTCTTCTGTGACTCATATTCACCAGCAGAAAAAAGGAAATATCTGCAGTGGGTTCACTAGAAAGTTCACGTGTAATGGCTGTGATTTGATTTTAGTGTTTTAAAACAAAATGCATATATGACATAAGGATGGTGTAACAAAAGCTTGTTTGTAAAATTCGTCAAGCAGTGACAGTAAAGATTCTTTAATATTGTTCACATGTGGCCAAGCTATGATCATTTTTTGGTGGTCACTGAAAGTCTTATGTGACTCATATTCTGTGGTAGCTATGTAAGTCACTATATCAGCCCCTGACGTTCTGTTTGGGGTTTTTTTACATATATTTGCCATGAATTTCCTTTTACTAAATGAAATTCATAGCTAGATGAGCATATATTGTTATGTGTTTTAAGACAATACAAAACTATTTTCCTTTACAAATTTCAGAGGTATTTCATGGATATTAAATTACAACAGAATTTACCTAAGTTTAAGATGTTTAGGGAAATATTTTTTGTAGGTTTCAGGTTGTTTAGACAAAACAGGTGAGCCTAAATTTACAAAAAAGTTTTATTACACATATAAAGATAACAAATATAACTTTGTCATAGGATCCCTATTTTTCTGCTGTTTCTTATTTCTGATTTTATACTTAGGAACAAGAAGATACACTTAATTTGTTTTTATAGTCTCTATTACCCCCAGAAAAGTTTTGTTGTTTTTGCTTTGCTCTGCACACCATCTCCGGTTGCTGTCTCCTTAAGGGCTCAGTAACAACTTGGATTAAACAGAGGCTGGATATAAAATTGAAGCAGTTTTATACCGCAGGGAAAACAAGCAAAACAAAAACCCTCTTGCACAGCAGTTACTTTTTGCCCCGAGTGGAAGCTCGAGAGCTCAGTGATTCAGAGCCCAGGAGCTCAAAGCAGCAAAATTATTGCTTGTGTTGCCGGGCCTGCAAAGGCAGCTCATCCACTGCACTGCTGCACCTCTCTGTGGGATGATGCTCTTTCACACACTACATGCAGCTGGGAGAGCCTTTATTTTCTTAAAAACAACAGCTGCCTTGCAAAAGCCAAGAAGAAAAATCCAGCTGGTGGGCCAGGTCTCAGCATTTCACTTCCTTCTGTAGAATCAAAAATGGCATCGGGTACAACTCCCTGAGCTCTCACTTTACCTGAAAAATGTTCTCTTAAGGTCCATGGAAAGCATTAGCTCATTTTTCATTTTTATCTCATGTGGTTTTTTTTTTCTGGGAACCTTTTTCACTGACCATTTATGTAACTACAAATGTAATTTAAAAAAGCATTAAATCCTGCATTACAGGCATACAAATAAATATTAAAATAAACCTCTTTTGTTTAATTCTAGCAACCTCAGAGAAACCTCACGAACACAGTAAGTATCAAGCTGATAAAGAACATTGTTATTTGAGCTTTTAGGAGATATTTATGTTGTTAAAGTTTTTGCAGCTTAAGAGGGGATTCATCAACACAAGCTCACAGGAAATGCTGACTTGGTTTGAAATGACTCTCTCTGCACTGCAGGACCAGGTGTGTTTCACAGGACTCAGTTTACATGGAAACTGTTTTCCTGTTTGGGCTGAGATAGGACCTACCTGTGTTCCCTGACTCCATGGCAGCTTTGTACTGAAAAAAAAATCAAGGGGCACAAAGAAAAGGAAGGGCCTGTGCAATTCCCTGGCTAGGACTCCGATCCTAGAAACAGAGAGATTTATCTCTTGGTATGCTGCAGCTGTAACCTGCTACACAATTTAGACATAGCTGCAATAAATGAGAATTAAATATATTTTTAACATTCCTCTGAAATGCCATAACCTTGTTTTATTCTGTCTCATAATGTTGAGGCTTGGATATCACACTGTTTTTAAATAGCAGAAAGTTGCATACAGCTTATATTTAGTACAGTATAATATTTATTATTGTTACTGCCTCACAATATGTCTGTGGGATCCAGGCTAACAGAGAAACATGGAAAATTCTTTTTTTTTATGTATACTGTATACTGAACATTTTTTATGTATACAGTATACTGAACCTTTATTTGTCTGTATGAAACAACCCCACTTCTGTTGTAGTAAAATGCTTTTATGATGTCTATATTAATCACCAGGACAAATTTTGTATATAGAAGATATGTGATAGCAATCAAAATCAGTAGAAGCTTTTCACAATTTTAGGAATCTTATGATAATTAAAAAAAAAAAAAAATGGAATTTTGTGATCTCTTAAACCACATTAAAAACTAAAAAGAATTCTTTGGCATTATTTTTCATTTTCTTAGGGGAAAAATAATTAAATATGTTTACTCAAAGAAGATATTTATAAAAAATTCTTCTGAAGTCTGGTGTGAGTATGTAATGCAAAGTCATATTTAAAAATCATAATAGGAATCTTTTATATTTAAAATCTAAAAACTTAAAAGCTTTCTAATGTAGGGGTTTTTTCTTATTTGCAGAGCATGATCGTGTTAAACATGAAAAAGCTGACTCATCTCAGACTAAGCCAGGTGGGTTTGGTAATTTAATTTCTAGTTACTCCAGGCTCCACTCAATAACTGTATGTGGTGCTTACAAAGCTTGGAGAACTCCTCTGAGCTAGACACTTGTTTTTGCTTTGTGTCATTGGTTTTCTCAGAGTTTGGGAGAAGAACAAAAACATGGGTGAATTTTAACAAGAAGGATTAAGCTTCCACAGTTTTTCCACAGTTCCTGCGACTCTCTCTCACTGTTGTAGTATGGCTTATAAAGCGTTAGCAAAACCTGATTTCCAGAGTTTGGGGAACAAGTTCTCTACTGCCCTTCAGTATATCAAAGAGGAATAACCAGTTGTTACATGAAGTGTGCCTCCCTAAAAAGGAGGAGCTACAGTCTCACTGGGTTCATGATAGACTGAACAGAGGCAACCTCCATTTTCTGACTCTAGGAACAGAAGCTGAATAATGAAAACAAACAAACAAAAACCAAACACAAACAAATTAACAAACAACCCACACAAAGCTAATCCTGGGCTGGCTATGCATTTTTTTAAACTGTAAGTAATAACAAGCAATAACTGGCTGTGGTGAGCAGGACGGGGTCTGCCTTTCAAACCAGGGCTTTGTGCCTCATCATGCTTTTTGAGGAGGAAGGCACCCAGAGATCCACAGCTGGGTCTGGCGTGAAGAAACAAAACTAAGAGAATAACTTCATAGAAATCACTGGTTTTGATGCTCCACTTACATTGCTCCTGAAGGGTCTTATCAGACACAGGGAGCACTGAAAAGCAAGTATCAGCCTCCTGTCAACCTTTGTTGGAAGTGCTGCTCTTTGAACTTCACATACAAATGAGCAGCTCATGAATAAGTGATTGGATAAACCACTTAAAACTTTATGTGTTCAATGAGAAGCAGGCAGGCTTTATTTTTTTTATTATGCTTTTTCTTATTTTGTTTTTAAGAAAACAATTTCTCCTACATATTTACTATTTTTCTTCTTTGTTATTATAATACAATATTCTATTTGTAAGTTAAATATTTCCATAGACATTTTGAGGTTTCCTGCAAGCCTTGAGCAGCTGATTAATAAAGTTGTATTACTGGGTTTGAGACAACAGGGGAAAAAAACAGTGTTTCTCACTCTAACCTTCAACGACACATAGGCCAAGCTTTTGGGTTTGTTCTTTGGGTTTTTTTTGTCTCATTGTTCACTTTTTATGTATCAACATCTAGCAGAGATCATCAGCCAGCAGTTAGGTGCAGGTGGGCTCAGACAAGGCAGGAACGTCCTGGCAAGGAAGCCCCCCTTTCCAGCTCAGTGACACCTGGGAGGGGTCAGTGGTGACCAAAATGTGGGTTGCCTGGGCAGATGGCATGATCACTCACCTTTCCTGCAAAATGAAATCAGTGCTCCTGCACAATCAGCCTGATCTCATCCAGATAGCAGCATAAAAATAAATTTCCTTGGAAAGGCATTTGAAAACATGAGAGCATGATGTCACAAACCACTACATTTGCCTGATTAGGAGCTTACTTTAGCACAGTATATTCTAGACTAAAGCCCTAAAAAAAAAAAAGAAAAAGAAAAAGAAAAAAATCTTCCTAAATTTTGTTTAACATAAAAAATCTCTTCCGAGGTGATTAATGGTTGTTTTGGAGAGCAGTGGCTGTTTTGAGTTTTAGTTGATGACTGGAAGTATTAACCTGCAAGCACCAGTGGTATCAGTGCTTCTGCCTGCTCTGTGTCAATGAGTGCTCTTGAGGTAGCAGACTGAATTATAAAAGCCTCCTTCTGTACAAAGCAGTGGTCTCCTTTTTCACCTTGATTCAGGTCAGCTTCAAATTATTATTCCTATGCCTCCTATCAGAAGACTTAGGTGTATCACATGACTGAGAAACCAGAGAACTTCAGAAAATATATTGATCCTGGAGGGAAATGTTTAAAGTGTGTTTTGTGTGTGCGTGTGAGAGCAAGAAAAGCAGGAGAATTTATTCCTTATGTCATTTCTCTGAAACTGCCTGAAATATACAGAGAAACGTTTACAGCTTTGTATTTTTCCATTTAAATTACATACATCAGAGAAAAAATTAATATTAATGCTTCTAGTGCTGCAAAACTAGAGCTCTGCAGAGGACAGAATTCCCTCCAATGAAAAATTTCAAAACTTTCAACTTTGGGCTTATCCAAAATAAGAACAAAATTTGAATTTTTCTGAAATATTCACAAAAAAATATTTTGGACTTTTTGTAACATTTGAGGTCGTCAGTTGGTGGGGGATGTGTTTGGTCTTGTTTAGTTTTTCTTTTTGCCAGACTCCTCATGGTATAGTAAATTAAAAGTACATGAGAAATGGGAAATATTACTTATATTTTTGCCAAAGTACTATGTATTATCCTAGAAACTCGGAGAAAAAGCCATAGGAAATGCATCAGGGTGTTCTCCCATAGAATCAGCAGATCAATACTTGCTGTGTGGGTAGATTTCAGAATAGGTAGGTGATAAATACCAGAGAATTACTGTCTTTATTCTCAGATGAATGCAAATTCCTTGGCCTGTCCAAGACATTCTGCTTTCATGTGTGAATTAAGTTTGAAAAGAAATCCCTCCCTTACTTTTAAATGGATCAGACATGCCATCTACTCAGAGACTTATTTGATTGACTCCTAGAGTTACAGCGCAAACACTGCTGTGAATTATCACCAGAATTAGAAAAGAAAGAATATCTTATTTAGTGTTGAAAAGAGCAGAAAGAATATCCAAAGAAAGAGAAGCTCCAAACATTTAGCGCTCTACTTGTCATTAATCCAATGGATTAACACAGCAGATTTCAGCAAAGGTACAGTACTGCATTCAGCTCTGGGGCCCCCCAACACGAGTAGATATGCACCTGTTGGAGCCAGTCCAGACGACTTCCATGAAGATGATCAGAGGGCTGAAGCACCTCTCCTATGGAGACAGGCTGAGGGAACTGGGATTGCTCAGTCTGGAGAATAGAATGTTCCAGGGAGACCTCATAACAGTCTTCCAATACCTAAAGGGGGCCTACAGGAAATCTGCAGAGGGACTTCTTACGAGGGCATGTAGTGATAGGAGAAGGGGGAATGGCTTTAAACTGAAGAGGGTAGATTTAGGTTAGCTTTAAGGAAGAAATCCTTTACCGTGAGTGTGGTGATGCACTGAAACAGGTTGCCCAGAGAAGCTGTGGCTGCAGCGTCCCTGAAAGTGTTCAAGGCCAGGTTGGACAGGGCTTTAAGCAACCTGGTTTAGTGGAAGGTGTCCCTGCCATGGCAAGGGGGGGTGGAACTGGAGGAGCTCTAAGGTCCCTTCCAACCCAAACCATTCTATGACTCTATGATGGTACAGGTGCTATGTTTAAAGTCAGCATGCTTAGGGTTTTTGTGGACTAGCATGTAGAAAACTTAATGCCCAAATCTAAATTAGTGAAATGCACTGTTACATGCTAAAGCTCATCTAGGAGCAGAAAGAAGATACTTCATCTCAACAAGTTGTGTCTTCTAGATGTTGGTTTTACTATAAAAAAACTCTACCTTCACAGACAGCCATGAAATGGACTTAAGATTTTTTAATTCATTGCTTTCATAAGAAGCTGACAATAACAATAGCTGAGTAAGGAGGGCACAACGGGATTGGGGAGAAATCCCTAAACTTAATACAAGCAAAGAGAAATTAAATTGCCACTTACTAGATGACAACTGAAAAGCGTGGTAATGCAAGGCTATATTTTATTTCCAAAGAATAGAAAAGTTCAGTAACCGTGGAGCTTTATCCCTCCCTGTATGTTCCTCCATCACTGCTGATTTTCTTCCATAAAAAAATAAAAGACCCCCAGACCAAACAAACAAACCCCAAAACACAACTGCCGCATCTTTCATGTCCATATTTGCATTGTAGTTTTGCTGGATGCTGCTGTGTTAAGGATGAGAAAAATGGCCTGTACAACGAGACTGTTTCTCCCTCTACTTACGTATGACAAATGTCGTCTTGGTCCTCTTTGGCAAGTGCACACCTCTGAGAATCTGAGAGCCAAGTTAAAAAGAAATCAGCAGAGAGAAGTAGATAAACCTGCTCTCTCTGCCCTCAGAAAAATAATCCTCTGAAACTTATATGCTAAATTCAAAGAAAACATCAGGTATCTTGAGATCACACAAAAGTCTGCTGTTCTAAATACTGTGTTATCCAAGTGTTTAGTCAGAGTGCATATTAGGATTTAGCAGTCAAATGTGGACATTTGGGTTCCAGAGAAATAACCCCCCCCCAAAAAAAAAAAAACAAAAACAGCAGTTCTTAAGGTTGACTTTTTGAGGGTATAGATGTACAGTGATAGGTAAACCGGGGATCTGGTAATTCACAAGTTATTTTAGCTACCCATCCCCATTGCATTACCTCATCTCCTTCATCTCATTTAAGAACAATTTTGACTGCCAGGCTGGAGACATTGCTCGTATTCAAGAGCCAAGCAGCTTTGTGCATGCACAAACCTGGGAGGGTTTCTAGCCAGCTAGTACTCAGCTGAATTGAATGGCTTTGGGGCACAAGACATCCTTGCCTGATACAACCTCCATCCAAGCATTGTCAGATTCAATCTGATGCATCACAGAGGCAACTTTGGGAAGATGAAGGGGCCAGAGGCATATGGCTGTAAATTGATTACCTCAGCAAGAGGAAGGGGAAATACCATTCTGAATGTGTCTTAAACATAATTAGAAGAAAAGTATTCATGTATGTGAATGGTGAAAGGTAGGGCTTAGGAGAGAACTTTGAAGTCAGGTATGGGAAAAGAGAAAATGTGAGTAGAGCTATGAAAGGATTAGGAAGGGTGAAGTTCAAGTCAGCTAAACTGGGCAGAGTAGAGATTCTAAAAAAAAAAACATCCTAATTCCCACCTCACTGGGCCATTGGGCAATTAGAGACAAACCCCAACTGATCAGAAAGTGTAGGCCAACCTATGTCTCTGCCCAAAATTTCATCCGCCAGCTTACTTGGAGGAGAGGCAGCTCAGGTCCTGTGGCTGATGTCGACATGGGTCCATGTTATCAGAGAACTGTGCTGAGTACAGCCAAATGCAGCCCAAGAGTACATGAACTTGGGCAGCTTTTCTCATGAGATTAGCAGCAGTTTAGGGCTGCTCTATGATTTTGTGACAGATAACCAGTTGGGTGTTGGTAAGCTTGTCCATTGACAGGTGGTATGAACTCACATTCAGACTGACACTCTCCCATGTGGATGTGCCTCTGTGAGTTAGCATATGCTTGGAGGTCTCCATACCTCTCTCATCTTCAGAGCATAGACATATGTAGGTATTTCCGTTCATATTTGTGGTTAGTATCTAAGCAGAAGTTCTCAGTGTCATATAATACCAAACTGTTGAACTTAGACACCCAGGAAGGTGATGTTCACAAAGTTATAATAGTGATATTATTAGCATGTTTTTTACCTGAGTGCCTGCCTGAAACACACTGCCAGGCATGTGGCTCTTTTCTGGAGGCTGAGACATTAGGCTCAGTGATTTGTTTTTTACATGCAGTATGATATCACCATTCAGTTAGAAGTCACATGCTGTTTCATAGCGCTACGGTGGGATAGTGATGCCAAATACATCCATTTATTTTGTCATTGTAAACCATTTGTATAATATATACATATATGTATAGAGATATTTTTCCAGTTATATGCTAATACAGTGTGAATTTCTAATTGTAATGCTGCTTTCAAAATACAGAGGAGAAAATTAGACAAAAGACAACTCCCGGTGAGAAGTCAGGTAAGAACAAGTGATTCTCTGCTGATTTATGGAGGGGAAGGGGGAAAGGGAGGGATATTAAATACTATTTATCACTCATCTAATGTAGTACATTTGCACTGCAATCATTTTTTACAGTATTTTGAAATATCTGACTGTTAGCACTTTTTTAGAGCTAATTCAGCAAAGTGACAATTGTAGGTAACATTCTAAGAACCAGTCTTTTCATTGACCAGCAAAGTCAAGGCATTTGGGCTGTTTGTTCCAGCCTCTCTACCAGAGTTGGCTAATGAAGTGGGGTGTAGCTGTAAATCCGATCCCTGAAATGATCCCATGTACCCTTGTAAGATCGGATCTTTCAAGAGACTTAATTTTTAGCACGAAGACCAATGCCCAAGTAAGGGGTAATGCAGGAGGATGCGTCACCAGTTAGATTAAGAACTTGGATGTATCTTAAATTGGCTTTATGATCTTGAAAATATTTTTGGAACTAATCCTTAAGCCTCTAGGTCTTTTCTATGACTTAGACCTTGTAGGTTATGTAATAATAATGCTGGCAGAAAAAAATTCAAATAATAATGACTGTTACAGAAGACCTGAAGGGTCATCCAAGGGATTAGAACATTCTCATCATCATTGACAGTCAATACAAAGCTGTTTTGAAGTACCTTTCTAGATACCTACCTCTTGATTATTACTGGAGGTAACCTCAATCCAAACAAAATGAAAGATTGCTAAATCCTGGACGATGATGCCAACAGCTTTTCATTTGATATGAGGATGATGATGATGAATATTTTCACTAAAATAGTGAAAATAGTTTTGTTTAAAGCTGAAAGGTGCCAGTGTCGTGGTTTAAACCCAGTCAGGCAGCTCGTTCACTCACTCCCCCTCTTCCTTCCCTCCCCCTACTCCTGGAGGGACGGAGAGGAGAATCAAAAAGAATGAAACTCCCACGGGTTGAGATGAGAACAGTTTAGTAACTAAGGTATAACACAGATCACTACTGCTACCACCAATGATAATAATGATAAAGGAAATAACAAGGGAAGAGAATACAACACCTCACCACCAGCCAACTGATAACTCGCCCCCCAGCCCGACCAAGCACCGACTGATACCTCATCCCACCCTGCAGTCCTAGCCCCTTCCAGGTAACTCCCAGTTACCCCTGGGCATGACGTGCTGTGATATGGAATACCTCTTTGGTCAGTTTGGGTCAGGTGTCCTGTCTTTGGTTCCTCCCGGCTTCCCCCCTTCCCCAGCAGAGCATGAGGCTCACAAAGTCCTTGGTCAGACTAAAACATCAGTGTAAACAGCTCTGTTCCCAGGCCGAAAGTCAAAACACAACGCTGCACCAGCTACCAAGAAGGGGAAAAAATGACTGCTACTGCTGAACCCAGGACAGCCAGTTACTACATAATTTTTATTCTTATTTTGTATATGTCTTCTTTGTGGTAACAGAATAGATGTTGAACAGAATATTATGGTTCTGTCTCTAATTGTGAACATTCATATAATTTGCCTGTTTATACTGGTTTCTGTAAGACCTCTCATGATAATCTAGCATTTCACTATGAAGTGATATTTTACAGCACTCTGTTTATCCAATAAAAAAATCTGTTTTCATAGTTCATATTGGATCATAAAGTGCTGTGGCTTGTTCAAAAGCATATAAATTATGTTTCTATTAATAGAAGTGGAGAAATTACTGAAAACTATTTCAGTATATTTCTAACCCAAACATGTAATGAGTTAGCATTCAACGTCTTTGAATTTACATGATTTTTACACCTAAATTTACAATTTTTTTTTAGGGTCAGCTAACTTCCGCTTTAAGTTTGTGAGCAAAATCAGAAGGCTCAAACAGTAATTCAGCAGTGGTTGGAAAAAAGTTGCCTAAAGTATTATGGCTTGACCACTTTTTGTAAGATTTGTTAGAGTCATGTGCTTGATAAATCTTTTTCCTGTTTGTCGGAACCAAATTGAAAATGCAGTATTTTGGGTAGGCCAATTTAACATAAGCTACTACAGAAATAATGTGTAAGTTTTCAGATCAATAGCTGTTGAGCTTGCAACAGGCAACTTCCAACAGTGGGTAAGTCATCCCATCTTTTTTCAACAAACAGTTATAAGTACACAGATTAGCCTCTGGAGAGGACTAGCGTTCTCCTGACTAAAACTGTATACAAATGTGTTCTTGATGTTGCAAATCAGTTGAATCCCATCCAAAATTTCCAGTAATCTGTTGACTGGTCTGGAGCTACTTCTGATTTACACTGTTGAACAGGGAGAAATGGTCCTGGAATATGTAAATGTGCTGCTGTGTTAAATGAGCAAATACTGCATTGTTTCAGCAGAAGCTCATAGCTAGCCAGGGGGAGTTGCAAAGGTTTAAACATGTTAGAGTCTACCTACATTTGAGGGGCCCAAATGCTGTGCATCTTTACATGAGTGGGGGAAGATAAGAACAAGTGAGAACTGACTGTCATAAAAATATTTGAATGTTAAAAAGAAAAATTAGAATCTCTTTTCTCTTTATATCTAAATATTACATTTTACCTTCTTTTGTCTTCTGCAGTCCAGGCAAAACCAGCAAGTACGTGGTACCTACCTTCATCAGAAAAAATCCTGTAAAATAGCTGGATATGTATGCCTTTTTTGACTTTAGCATATGGAAACTCGGTCTTAGCAATTTCTAGTTTTGCTTAAAATTATAGTGTCTTTATCACCATGCTTTTCATTACTTTCATTTAATATTCTGTCTTGTCTTTTAACATACTGTCTTGCCAAAGTTTATTTGACATAACCAATTACTTCAGTATAGGAGTAAACTCATTCTTTGCTTCCCATACCACAAGTATCAACAAAAAATACTAAATCGGGAATGACAAGCTTTGTAAAAATCATCGTTAACAACTACTTGGATTAATAAATACTCTTGCTGAATTTAAAAGAGAAGAAAAAATCACCACATTTTCTTCCTAATCATATATTATTTTAGTATAGCTGTCTAGAGCTTTTCTCAGTCAAAAAGAACTGAAGAGTCCATACATCAACTTGCCATGCAGCTTACTTTTGTAAAACGAAGCTTCTTCATCTGTTCCATTTCCAGCAACCTAACATAAATTCATATTTTTTCAGCAATAATTATGAAATAGAAAGGGGGTGACAGAGAGAGGGGTACTGCCTACCAAGCACTGTTAGTTCTCTAATTTTCCATTTATTCATATGGAATAATTTATTCATATGGAATAGGATGTGTTCGAGACTTTGAGAATTCAGCTCAAGTACGTCTGAATCAGCAACATAAAGGTCGAGTGGATGGTAGCTCAGTTTACTCTGTACTCTTCTTTCATATAACAAAAAAAGAGAGTAGCTATAAATTACATTTCAGAATTTAAGGGGAGCCCCTATTAACTGACTTCTTCCTTAAGATACATGCATAACTCTTACTAATATTAGTAGTTGCTGTATGTGTGGAGCTATGTGCAGCACTACTGAACTTTATTATTTTGTGGCAGATCACTCAGCTGATAATCTATTGGTAACTAGCCACGTGTCCTTTTCACAAAATAACAGAATGAACCAAGAGAAAATGAATGTTTATTCCTGAAATATAGACATGCAATCTTTCTTAGTTGAAAAAAAAAAAAAAAAGAAAAGAATAAAAGGCATGCAAACAGTAATAGAAACATTATGGGAATTTTATTATGCTGTTTCTTTTATCTAGAGCATGAAGCAGTCAGACATGAAAAAGATGTTCTACCTTCAAAACCAGGTGAGCACTCCTGCATTTTATTCATTCATTACTTTTTGAAACTGTTACTTAAAGAAATTGCAAAGTACAATTATATATGACAAATGCCAAAATCATGGCCCTGTGGTCTATTTTGCTGTATAGGTTGGCCTTGACATGTCATACCATAGCAAAGGAAGCACAGCAGATATTTCAATGCTGGTTGTCATATATATATATATATATATCTCAAAGGTCAAATTTTTGCATCTGTAATTCCACCAGTGCCAAAGAAGTTACGTCATCAAAGAGTCTGAACCATTTTCTGAAAGTGCTTCAAATTACTTCATTTTGCTAATTATTTGTGGTGTCTGCCATTTATTTGGACTTCTCAGTCTTCCTGCATAAGTCAACTTCTCAGGACCAGCAATAGCTCAGTTTTTGTCTATAGCAGGTATTACACAATGTGCTATTCAGATCATGATGTGGCAATGTTCACCATCTATGATAAATCTCTGTACACCACAGCTCCTACACAGCCTCACTTGTATAAGATAGAGCAAAATAACTGCAAATATAGGAAGCAGCACTGTTCAGTTTCACTATGAGTCAATCACCATGGATTTAAAAAATGTTGTCTCCATGCTTCTCCATGAAAGGAAATAAGTGAAGAATTAAAATTCTTGTTATTCGTCCTTAACTCTAGCACAGCAATTATAATGTGCAGATGAGAACATCTCAACTATCATTATCCATCATTCGATTGTTATTAATTACTAAGAGGTTACTAAATATAATGTTTTGATATGCAGTAAATAAGATAGAACAAATAAAGCCATTAGTCACTGTAACAGTATTATGCTGTATCTGACTATTCTGCACCTTAATCTACTCTAATTTTTTTTCCCTCTTTTAAATTCCCAGTCAAACTGAAAAACACTGCGAGTACGTATCATGTCTTGTTTCCCATGGAATATAAATCTTTTTTTCAGATGCATGTTGCCTCAATTTGCATTTTTGCAATTTTGTCATGTTGCAAAACGGTACTTTCTTGCTTGCACTACAGATGCTTTTGTACTCCATCTGCTTAATAACACTGAACACACCCAAAGTAAACCTATAATTTAATATTGTGACTGCAACATTCAAACTCTGTTTGCTATTTTCGCTTTCTATAAAAACACACTAAAAGACATATGACTTATCTTTATGCGAACATATTGTTTGTTAGAAATAACAAAATGGCATGTAGCATAACTGAATTAGGCAACTTTTTCATTACTTATTTTACCATTTGAAAATTACTTATTTTATTAATTCACTAAGCACATTCTTGGCCTTGTTTCAATATGCTTTTTTTTCCTACTTTTATAAAAAACTAAATTAAATTAGAGAAAGGAATGTTTCTGGTTTAGACAAGTTTTAAGGAGAATTCAAGGGGAGTTTCTTTCATAACAAAGACTTTCATTGAAGTCATTGGATAATGTCCTTGTTAAGGTTATCTGAACAGAAAAAGACAGGTCTACGCTTATTATGGCAATTCATTACACATTACATACTGGAAATCATAATCAGACAACAATCAAAAGAACAGCAAATGTAAAGAATGTAAACACTTTGGATGCTTTGAATTGTGAAAATGGTGAAGTAGGGACCTTCACAGATTAATTAGTTGTAGCCTTGTCAGCACAAGAGATCTGTTTACTTTTATGTACTATGCCTGGCACATCAAGACCAAATCATGTGTTATTCTGATGCAAAGTAATCTACAAAATGTATCCAAAACCAAGGCCAAGCCCCATGAGACACATACCTCTTCCTGCTCCAGATCAGAAGCTGACAACAAGGCAAGGAAAAATGCTCCCATTAAGATTCCTAAATCGGTCTCCTATGTCAGGTACTTGAAGTTAGACAAGATGAATACCCACCCTTAAACACCTATCAGAAGACACAGTGCTATTCTGAACCCCAGCTTCAAAGGGAAAGAAGGAACACAAAGGATCTGAAATATGCCGGTACTGAAAGATATCCCACAATCTTGAATTGCAGTTTTCAGTTTTCAAATTATTATTGCAAAATTATCACTTCCTTTGAAGTAATTGGTGGGTTTATTTCCAATTTTGACAGTATTTTAAGTAAATTTTCTTCTATTTGACTCCATTATTCAGATTTTTTCAGTTTTGTATTCACCAGATCTGTTCACTGACTTTTTGTCTTCTACACTGACTTGTCTGAGAAACCCCCTGATGGCACTCTTTAGTATTAGAGAACTGTCACAGATTTGACTAATTTCTCATGCTTTCTGCAATAAGTAACATTTTAATCCAAAATCATTGTCTACAATGCTTTTTTGTCAAGAGCTGTATTACTCTGGCATATTGTGAATATAAGGAACAGCCAAGATATTTTCCCTTGACCTTTGCAGAGGGATGTTTGTATGACATTCTTGAGTTTATATCCTGCTGCTTGAGATAATTATAAAGGTTAACAGTGCCTTTAGAAAAATAAAAGGAAAAAAATGAAAAAAGAAAAAACAGTAACAAGCAGACCTATGATCATGTACAAAAGTAATTCTGTTTACAATGCCTATTTTGAGCTAACCATCTTTGAATAAATCTAGTCCAGGATTTTAAGCACCAGAGACATCTATTTTAAATTGCTTTTTTCCACTCAAATAATAACACTTGGTTAGATCACTGCCTTCTTTATTTCTAGAGCTCTACATAGCTTTGCTCCATATATTTCCTAGCTAGGTGTACTTATACTTGTCATAACATGCACATAGATACCATGTAATCCAGTACGAGATGTAGCCATGGACAAAGTACTCACTGATTTTGCAGTTCAGGTCTAGTAGAAGGTAAAATAAATCCATTCATTAATTCAGGACCAAATTCATTCACACATTGTACCCTGATGATTTGTACAGTAAAAGTAAATGGGGTTTAAATCAGTAGAGATATTGTAACATTAAGTGAATGACATGTTAAAAACAGAAATAAAAGGTTGAGTTTGAAAAGTCCCCAGATTAACAACCAATACATTTTTATAGTAACCTGCTCTCATGGTTTAAAATGGCAGGCAGCTAAACACCACACAGCTGCTTGCTCAATTATAAAAGCAACTAGCAAACTATCTTATTTTTTATTATTTCCGTTTTAGTAAGCAGGAGGGTCTTTGAGTGCAATTGGTTCTATATCAAATTTGAAAGTCTAATGAAACTCAGAATTTACTCCCTGCATACTGACTAAAGACTCTCAAATTTTGCGAGGTTATCTTGAACAGAGGACAAAAAATAGTGCAATATCTCACTCATGCAAAAGTATTACCAAACCATACTTTACAATCAAGAGGAAGAACATGTAGTCTGCTATTTTTAGAAAAAAACTAAGCATTGGCTAAACTCTGTTCCCATTTAGTTCTATAATGAATGTCCAGTGATAGAGGTAAAATGTTTCACAAAGCCCTCAGGGTAAATGGAAGTTTGTTAATGCACTGAGAGAAGAAATAACCCTTATACAGGTCAGAGGGTCAGACTAACTACCCTGCAGGTCCACAGTCTTCCAGAACCTCACTAAGGTAATCAATCATTTATCCTTAATTAGAATTGTTAATATATGCATATAACTGGGCCAGTCCAGATCGCTCAGCCAGATAACCCCTCAGTTAAGGAATGATAACATGAACACCTTTCTCAGGTTTAGTGCCTCAGACAAATGTCTTACTTTTTTCTTCTGAAAAATGAGAATAGGTCACTATGGGTCACAATGCAGTAATGTATCAGCTTTCAGTAACTGAGCATCATCATAAGCAGAAATGTAAATATTAAAGAACTTAAGCATATGGACTTTCAACAGAAGCAAAACTGGTCTTTGCTGAATGCCTGTGATGCCGAAGTATTGAGCACTGGCATTTATGAGTCTCCTTATGAACGAAGATCTGAATGAAAGTTTCCTGGGATGTGTTAGTGAAAAACATTCTTTATTGTTCAGCCTTCCTGTTGAAAAACGCATTTAATCATTTTCACCTTGGTGTGAGCTGCAGAAGTTCACATTCATCTGAAGACAAAACTCAGCATGAAGAAAATACAGATAATTCAATCAAAAGACACCCTGAGGTTTTTTTTTTATCCAGCTCTAGGTTCAAAGAATAAAGGCTTTGCCTGGCTAGTGAGGTTATTCTCTTCCCTTTAAATTTTATTCTAAAACATAACTGTGATTAGTGAATTAGTGATACGTACAAAAAATCTTGGATTCTAAATCACAATTTAATTATTCCTTTGATTTAAAAAGAGTAATGTGATTCATACCAGAGAATTTCTATCCCATTGAATTAATCAATTAATTGATTTTCATTAATTATTATGGGCATTACAAGAGCACAGGAATATATTATACTTTTTTGCTAGGTGCTGTGCGAAGATGTAGACAAAATTGTTCTAGATCTCAAGAGCTTTTATTTTGAAAGGCAAGGCGAACTGATAATGCAGGAAAAACAGTGTAGAGGGGTGATTGCCGGGTATTCAAGGTCAGTGCCAGTCTTTGGTTGGGACATGTGGGTTATAGGAAAAGAGAGGTAACAAACTGAATACATTTTGTGGAAAGTAACACAATCAGCTAAAACCTTAAACGCGCATTTAAAAATAAATCTAAATATTTGCTTGCTGGAAAGCTTTGCTTGGCACAGTGTTTGCATTTGCAGGAACCATTGCATGCTGGATTATAGTACTTCAAAGAGTGAGAATCAGCTTTCAGTGTGAAATTCTGTGTACATGCCCATTGTTAAGGCACATGTCTTTGAAAATTAATACACTGCAGAAAAGTTGCAGATTAAAGAGATCTATTTAAACGGTTACTTGCCTTGAAAAACCATGGTACTGAACTTCATATTCTTTTCCTTTCCCCCTTCTTCTTCATTTCTGCTTGTTTTCCTGGAGAGCCAACAGGTAAAATCCCAACAGCAGGTAAATACTACATTTCTCCGGTATTCTTATGAAAAGAATTAATGAACATATCAGTACTGATTTATATGTATTGTTCATCAACAATGAACAATGCTAATGTAAACCAGCACGGTTAAACTGACAGCACTGCAGCTGCACAGTTCTCTACCAAAGACTGTTCTGATTGGTTATTACATTATTTTACTGTTCATCTTCTGCAGCATGTTTTGGTGGGCTAGACACAGGTGATCAGCACTGAGTAAGCTAGTGTTAATCAGATAACACATGCATCAGAAGACACTGAACAAAGCATTATTACAACTGGTGGGAAGATATGAAGTGCAAATGAACAATACAAAGGCAGCCTGCCAGTTTTCTGCTGCAGTCAACAGGGAATACTGAAATGGGCTCAGATGCCTGAAGCAATGCACCTTACTTAATTTCAATCTGCCTTGTTGAATGGAGTCACAGACCAAATGTCTGTGTTTGCAGGCTGGGGAAAAGGATGCCAAAAAGAAAAAAAGCCTATGTTCTAAGTGACTGTACAATCAGAGAAAAATAAAATAAATAAAAAATCAGAACCTACTGCTGTAGTACTTCAGAATGATCACGTTTGAAGCTTCTAAACATCCATCTAGTTCCATATTCTGGGGTGCGTGGGTAGGGATCTGTTTTTTTTTGTTTCAGATGACTGAGATCTATCCAGGAAAAAATGTAAAAAGCAGGCATCAAGTAGAAGGATCCTTACATAACATATTTTGGCCACCAATAATTGGGGAATTCTGGCAGTACTTAGGGAATTACAGAATTCTTGTGCCTAAAGCCTTTATCAGGAGTTTCCAAACTACTCTGCAACCAGCAATATCCAAACAATTTCCAGTGACTGTTCAGAAAGCCTATAACTACTACTGCCACTAAGGGCAGCAGCCACTGTAGTAATATTAGGTACCTTGTATACATGCCATGAGACACATTTACCATAGTTATTATTCCAGAGAAATTACTAAGGAGATCAGCTTTGTGCAATGTACTTTTTGTAAGAGTACCATATTTCTGATGATTGTCACCTAATGTTCTTTCCTTGCAAATCTTTCTAGCTATGAAAAAAACAAAGACATCTAAGGAAAAAGAAGGTATGAATTTACTCTGTGGGTGCATGCATATGTAGAAGATCACATTTAAAACAGTATGAGATTAAAATTTTTTACATGGATTTTTATTTGAAACAAACCATACAAGGTCTGTGTTAATTTTCAAAGAATATTACTTGAAAACTCTAGGCAATAATCTGTTCCATAGTCAGTTTACTAACCTTGAACTGTGCTACTTTTTTTCTTGCTAGAAAAAACAATTGAGAAGAAACATCTGAAACATGAAAAAAACAAAGGTAATAAAGAGATGAAAATCTCAGCAGATAACAATAAAAATGCAAACAGTTTTTTCCATGGGATTGAAAAGAAGAGCTTTGTTGGTCTTTCTAAATACATGCAAGTAAATAAAAATGATGAAATTGTGCATAAATCCCCAGTAACCGAGTGTCAGATGGCTTCTCGGCTGATTACATCAGCACATCCAATCTGGCTGCAGCAGTGCCCTGCCTGTGACCCCCCCTGGCTAGTACAGCATTAGCCTGTCTGCGGGGTCCTCCAGCGCTGTATTGACAGACTAGTAGGATGAGTAGTCCCTACTTAGTCTGCTGTTATGCTCCTTAGTGAGACAGTGCAAAGTTCATCTCCATAGCTTGTGCGATGCTTTAGATCACTAGCTTCATACTGTAGAATAACTACACTGATAACAAGTAGTGCTTTTTACACAAGACAGACTTCATGGTCACCTATATTCTGACTAACCTGTTGGACGCAGCACCATTTTGGTTGTTTCCCTGCAGTAATATGCAGACAGATAAATGGTTTCTGCTATACCTCTGAAGATAATTAATAGCAATAAGTTACGCAAATGTATTAAGTTAGTGGTCTAGGACATAAATGTCTTCTCTATGTAGGTTAGAGACAGTGACTTGCATATAGAAAAGGATACCAATTAGTTGTATTGGTGCAAATTTGGTAAACTATCTAGAGGCAGTTTGTTTTTATGGCTTTGCTAGACATAAAATTTCTATGTTTAAATAATTTACTAGGAAAGCCATGCTTACAGAAAAATCTTGTTTATAGAGATTCCTATCTGTAAGTTGATTCCAGGAAATTAGCATGTTTCTTATTGAAATTTATTTAAATATTTTGGTGTGAAAATGGAGATTTATTTATCACCTATGCTTTGCTTTTTAGAAGTCCCACCAGTAAAAGAAGCTTCACGACATCACAACCTGACATCAGGTATATGATTTCCCTTTATTGTAAGGGAACTTCCTTTTCCTTTCCAAAATTTTCCTTTTTTTTTTTTATTTTGGAGGAGGAGGAGGGGGAGGAGGGGGAGTTGGTTGTGGGGTTTTGAGTTTTTTTTGCAAAAGGAGAAAACACAGTCTTTTCACATCTCTCATTCAAGTCTAGGGGATATGATGTAGGCAAGCCAGGTAGATCAAATCCATAAATATTTTTCCTGTGGTGAATTATTTGGTCAAATGGTATTGGCTTACACCTTCCTAAACTTTTAAACATATATTCAGATAATTGCTTTATAAATCAAGTGGCCTGTAATTCATTTGGCAGTACATTATTTAAAACAAGCTCATGCTCCTCATAGAAAATCTGTTCCATAACAAAACCACATAAGAAGAAGCATGTTCAGCTTATCTTCTCTCACATTTATAAATATTGTCTCCCATCATATTGTGCCCTCAATCCCCCCACAAAAAAGATGAGCAAAGGTCAAACAGCTCAGGAGGAAATTGTTCTGCATAGTTTTATAGGCTATATCCATGTTTTTTTCCTAGTTTATGGTAAAAATAAAAACACGTTCCAGATTCTTGACAAATTAAACCCTACAACTTCAGTGAACTGTACTGATTCATGACAGACAAGAATCAAAGTATTTAATCTCACTCATGAGGTTATGGTTTACACAGAAAATATGAATTAAATATTAGTATGGATCCCTCCAGTACAACTTTGTTGTCTTAAACTACTGAAGAAAGAATTTAACCTGTAATCATGCAGACTACTTTATTGTATATGAGTTTTTTACCTTTTTTACTTGAAGTGGAACGTTTTAGTGTCCTATGTACATGATATAAAATGTGTAATATGTATAGTTATATGTATCTGTATTTAGAAATATCTATTTATCCATATGTATAAACTTCAAATATTTGAATAATAATTAAGAAGTAGCTAAGTATAAAACAAGTAAAGAAAAACCTGACATGAAGGAAGAGAAAATGTAAATGAAATGCTAAGATTAAGCATCCAAATTTTAGCATGTATATTTCCACACATGGCTCACAAGACTTTGTTGCATAGTCATAAACATATTACATAAACATAAACAAATTGCTTAGCTTTTTCATCTTTTTTTATTTAATTGTGATACAGATTCATAGAGTTGCATACAGACTTTAATTCCTCTTAATGATTCTTTTTTTAGCTGATAGATACAGAATGTAGAATCTATGCTAGCAAAAAAGTTTTACTATTTTATTGATAGAGAATTAATATCAATAAAGTAGTACTAATCATAAGAAATAGCCAGTAAGATAAATTAAAGAGTTTTCCAGAAGATACAAGATTTTTTTTTTCTGGTGCAACATTACAAATTCAGTATAAAACAGGAATGTACTATAATTTGTTTGCCAGTGGACTTTCTTCTGCACATCGCACCCCTGCAAAGTTTACATCATTCAAAAACTGTGTTACTGTGGCTTTCGTTTACAGTAATTGTTATGATTTAATTGTACATTATCATTGTGCAATTATTCTTGGCTGAATGTTTCCCAGATCTTAAGCAGCTCTGTTCAAACAGTTCTTCATAACTGGCTTTTTCATAACTTACAGAACTATGTAAGTACTTTCAAACTATTCTTTGTCCACTGAAAAGAATAAGTTAGTTTTCAGACAATGGATGAAAGGTTTCCAGAATAACATCAAAGTGGTTTCTCTTTATGAATGTTGTTCTTTCTTTGGTGTTTGCTCAACCCAAGAATTTAAAAGTTGAGACCAAATCATAGGTCATGTACACTTGACTTGGAACTTGATGGCTTTTGTATGTTCTGTTTACAGACAAACCCAGTGAATTTTTCCTGCTGTGCTGAATACTAATACTTTTTGCTGATAAATGGAAGTAGAAAAGGTTTTAGCTAATCTAAAAATTTAAATAGTAAATCTTCTTTCAGCTTTCAAAAGCTGCATAGAATAGATTCATGTGGCTTTAGATTTCTTACAACCAGTCCCTGATATTAATAGCAATCAGATAAAGAAAAACAAGCCATTTAGAAAGCTGTATCTATCTTCAATTTTAGGATGCTCGATTTAAAAAGAATTTTAAGTTACTTGAACTCAGCTCAAAATCCACCTCTCCAGTAAACAATTGTAAGTTTTCATAGTTACCAACACAGTGACAAAAGAAGGGTTGATTAGGTTCAATTTTTATGTACTACCTAAATATTAGCTACATCTTAATAGCACTTGAACTTCAATAGCTCAGTCTTCCAACTGATGAGAACTTTTTCTTCTTATTATGTAAACCTTAGGTGTGCTACAACCGTGAATATGTTTTACAGACCCCATTGACAGACTCCCAGTTAAAATCCATAAGAGGTAAATCCTGAAGATTAATGAGCAGAGAGAGTCCTTGCCAATCTACAGTGAAAAGCACTGTTAAAAATATAAGGTCAGACCAAAACATTATTTTAGAAGATTTTAATGTCCCAAACAGTCTGTCAAAGAAGTTACATAAAGCTTAAGGTTTCTACATCCATAAGGCACCTTCCTATGCAAGCACAGAAATTTTTGACCCCTACATCCCTGTTTCTGAAGCAGGGAAAACTGCTGGCCTATTTCCCAATTCCTACAAAAATTCGCTAGGATCCAGAAACTTGATTAACAATTCCTGTCTACCAAACATGCTTTGAACACAACTAACCCATCAATATCAGGCTCTTGACAAAATGCAGCTGTAATAAATTTGTTTTTAAAATGGTGGTGACAGTGTTATACTGGTGTAGTCATTGTGTGCTCTCCAAGTGATTTAGCTGACTCAGTCCTCTTCACACAGAGAGAGACAACTTTACAGCTTCTACTTCCCAGGAGGTCACTAGAGCTACTTAGTTACAAAATAATATGGGCGGAACACCAGAGTAACATGGGTGAAACACCAGCTGCCTGTTCCTGAATTTTCACAATTCCATTTCCATTTATACAAGACTGTTTCTGCTTCAGAAACTTTTTTACATAAAACAAAATGGTCACTGGATAAAATTTAGAAATAATTCTGGACTAATAAAATCAGGCACATCTTGTAATGTATCTAGCTAGTTTTTGTCGATCATGCACATGTACAGCACTTAGCTTAATATCTGGAAAGCTTTGCAGTCCATAATGGCAGGATATTTACTCTTATCATGGGGGAGCTGTCATTCAACCTAAATCTTATCAAGGTATTTGAAGACCACTCTAAATCTTAAGTCCACAAACAGTATAAAACTACCTCAGTTACACTTGGCAATGTGCCCTCTGAGCTTGGAATGACTGTTTACATCAAAAGGGAGTGATCAAAATTCTACCAGGGAATACATTAAGGGAGAATTCAGAGTCCAGAGAGAGATCCCAGAAATAAAGAAGGATGTTTGGCAAAAAAATGAGATGGAAGAAGAGCAAAAGTTGATGACAGACAAGATAGATAATAAAAAGTTGAGGTTTTTACAATTAATTCATTAATTGCTTACTTCTCATGTTAAGCCTAAAAATTATTTGCTTAACAAATAATTAGAGAAACACCTAGAATTTCTATAGTTGTAGGGATAAATTGGTGTAACTAAACAACGCATAATGGTCACAGACTATGCAAAAAAGTAGTATGAAAAAATATATTATTTAGCATGCTGGTTTAGATTCAGCAATGAGAATCTGATTTACCTAACTTTGCAAAATAAATCCAATTAGTAACATTATTTATGCCTGTTGGATAATGATTTCATTCCCTTCCTTTTAACTGGGTCAAAACACTTTGCTAAAATTAAACTCCACACATATATAAATACAACTAAATTTGTGCTTAAATACAACTAAATTTGTGCTAAGTCAAATAATAATAATAAAAAATGTATCTCAGTATAAGTTTCTGAATGATTTTGCCACAAATGAAATATCAGTATCTAGTATCTTAATGTTTCTCCTTCTTAAAATGGTTTTACCCTTTAGTTTGACTTGTGTATCTTAGTAAATAACATGACAATAAAAGAGGAAAAAAGTACATATTGTGTATTTCCATTACATATCTCATGGAAGCAAATTTCAATACAAAATTTAATTCCTCAACAGTTTTCTTAGTCTAAGATTGTTTATCTTTGTTTCAGATTGTTTAGCTTTGTAAATGGCCATTCCTTTAAGTCCGTTCAATGTTCATATTTCTTCTCATCTAATGGGGACATTGCTTAGAGAACAGAGCAACTCTCCTGCTTTTTCATCAACATAATTTTGTTTTTAAACATTTATAAGCTCTAAACCCAGCATCCTGATGTTGTAGTGAGTTCATGTTTCCAGGTCTCATCAATATAGTCAAATCCAGCAGAGAAATCATAATAATGTGATGCAGTTCTTAATTAGTGAGAGAAGAACTGACAGCAGACTCAGTGAAATATTTTAAAGAAGCCAACCTATTGAATTCCAGTTTCTTTCCGTCTGAAACAGTTTCAAACAGAAACAGAAACTATTCTTTCTATTGAAACAGTCTCCTTCTGTTTCTGTATGGTTTTCTGTGCAAATTCGAGGTGAGGAAGATGTTCTAATTAGCTTCATCTTTCATTGAACTACAGACCAGTCAGTCCAGGGGACCTACAGACCGGGGAACTACAGACCAGTCAGTCTCACCTCTGTGCCTGGCAGGATCATGGAGCAGATTCTCTTGGAAAGCATGCTAAGGCACATGAAAAACAACGAGGTGGCTGGTGACAGCCAGCATGGCTTCACCAAGGGCAAATCATGCCTGACAAATTTGGTGGCTTTCAATGATGGGGCTACAGAACTGATGGATAGGGGCAAAGCAGTTGACGTCATCTACCTGGACTCGTGCAAAGCGTTCAACACTGTCCCGCATGACATCCTTGTTTCTAAACTGGAGAGACATCAATTTGATGGATGGAGCACTCAGTGGATAAAGGACTGGCTGGATGGCCACACGAAGAGAGCTGCAGTCAATGGCTCAGTGTCCAAATGGAGACCAGTAATGAGTGGGGTCCCACAGGGTTCAGTGTTGGGACTGATCTTGTTCAACATCTTTGTCGGCGACATGGACAGTGGGATTGTGTGCACTCTCAGCAAGTTTGCCGATGACACTAAGTTATGTGGTTTGGTTGATACGCTGGAGGGAAGGGATGTCATCCAGAGGGACCTTGACACACTTGAGAGGTGGGCTGATGCCAACCTCATGAACTTTAACCATGCCAGGTGCAAGGTCCTACACCTGGGTAGGGGCAATCCTGGGCACAGCTACAGGTTGGGCAGAGAAGAGATTCAGAGTAGCCCTGTGGAGAAGGACTTGGGGTTGTTGGTCAATGAGAAACTGAACATGAGCCAGCTTCAGTGTGTGCTCGCAGCCCAGAAAGCCACTCTTATCCTGGGCCACATCAGAAGGAGTGTGGCCAGCAGGCCAAAGGAGGCGATCCTGCCCCTCTACTCTGCTCTCATGAGACCCCACTTGGAGTACTGTGTACAGTTCTGGTGTCCTCAACGTAAGAAGGACATGGAGCTGATGGAGTATGTCCCGAGGAGGGCCATGAGGATAAGGGGGCTGGAACACCTCCCATATGAAGACAGGCTGAGAAAGTTGGGGCTGTTCAGCCTGGAGAACAGAAAAATGCAAGGAGAGCTCATAGCAGCCTTCCAGTATCTGAAGGGGGCCTACAAGGATGTCAGAGAGGGACTCTTCATTAGAGACTGCAGCAATAGGACAAGGGGGAATGAGTTTAAACGTAAATGGGAAGTTCAGGTTAGATATGAGGAAGTTCTTTACTGTGAGGATGGTGAGGCACTGGAATGGGTTGCCCAGGGAAGTTGTGAATGCTCCATCCCTGGCAGTGTTCAAGGCCAGGCTGGACAGGGCCTTGGGCAACACGATCTAGTGTGAGGCATCCCTGTCCTTGACGGGGGTGTAGAACTAGGTGATCTTAAGGTCTTTTACAATGCTAACCATTCTGTGATTCTATGATTCTATGATTCTATGAATGTAAATAGCACAAGGCACAGATCCCATCCTCCTAGTCACAAACACTTAAATTATTTGAATGCAATAAGTTGTAATAACATTTAAGCATGCTGGCAATAGGAATGAGTTGACAGAGACCATGTAACATCAACATGCATAAGGTACATGATTACCTTCCTGTCAAGGTGTTGTCATTGTTTTGCTCAGTAAAGCAATAAAATCCAATTCTGTATTGTTGCCCACCAAATACCACTATAGTCTCATGTAATTATGACTGCAAGCTCTGAAAAAATCCAATCGGTCGTAATAGACCTTAGATCAGACCTGTATTAATTTTTGGTCCCTCTTGAATATAGTTTCTTGAGTTTGCTCCTATGTTTCACTAGTAAAACACATAATGCGAGTACTAGACTCATTTGAAAGCTCAATAGTAGCGAAGTTTTAAAGACTGTACTTGAATTACTTTTATGCTTTGTTGGAAGTGTCTGTATTACCACATATATGTCTCACTGCTACATCTTGCATTGTTTTATTGTGTAACAAAAGTAATTTTTTCTAAAGATACAGCTAATTTACCCATTAAGTCTTCTCATCAGACAGTGACTGCTAACTTGCCAGTAAGCAAAATACACAGTATTTTACTCCCTTAAATGACTGTTAGGTGTTGTATATCCCATTAAAGATAAAATTGCAGAAATCAGTTTTCTTAGAACAAAGATGTCATTCACTGAGTTTTCTTGTTATGTTTCTAAAAAAACATTGACTTTGATAAGTAAGATATCATGCCTTTAACCAGTTCTGTCTTTAGATCTTATATATACTTTTACTATGGTGATATTTTTCCCCTCTAATGACAATAAATATTACCAGAATAACCTCTAGAACTATCGATTTGATACATTTAAAACTTACCTTATACCAAGAAAGTGTTATTAGAGACATGTACTATTTGTACTGATACTGACAGACGTCCTGCTAAAATGGATATGAAAACACTGATGGTGTTTCTTTGCAAGGATAAGCAATTAGTTGTATTATATCACAGCCACTTTGAAAGTAGCTTTGAGAACTAATTTCTGACCATTCTTCATTTTTCTTCCTTATTTAAGTCACAAAATAAGATGCAAAAGAAGTACCCTCATAGGACAATTTCCTTTTTTCCCTGTCCACACATTGTCTGTACAATGATAGAGAAATGTCATTTTAAGGGGATGTTTTCACATATATAGAATTGATGTACAGTGGTAGTGATATTTCTTGCTTAAGTGTGACGGACATATAAAAGTTTTCCCCTTTCTTTTACCCCTCCATCTTCCCATTAAGCATTGTACTTCTTAAGAATGGCAGTGGTGTCTCTGTACAGCATGCTCAGTATCAAGAAAGGACTCAAAAAGGACTTGTCAAAAAAAAGATAAACCTAATTTTTGAAACAAACCATGTTGCTTTCGTTAGCCAATATCTAAACATGGACAATTAAGAGAACAGCATTCATTTTCCTGCATGGGCCCTCAGCACTGAGCTTTGCTATTCAAAGAAATGGGATTTAATTAAATGTCAGTTACACAGCCCCACTAAGCTCAAAGACTTATATACTTGTATTAGAACGCATGAAAGCAAAAATTTGTGATATTTATCAAGGATTCCACATGGCTTCCCTTCCCCATCTGTATCTCTGCTTCTTCTGGTCAGTTTGACATACTGTAATTTTACTGAAGTATTAAGGGAAAGAGCCCAGTGTTTGACAGGCAAACAGAGCAAATGGGAAAATACCTGCTTCTCTTCCTTGCCCTTTAGTAAGTGAGAAAAAAAAAAAAAAATCAGCTCTCCAGTTCACGGAAAAAGATTTTTTTTATGTTTGTGTGGTTCAGTTCTGATTGCTGAACCAAAACATGGTCTGTGCATTTCTGAGAAGCAATCAGAAAGAAGTAAGTGCAATTGTTAGTACTTTCCTCTTACTTATAATTGCTTACTAATTAGTTGTTTCTAATGCTATGATTGCCCGAATTTTTGTGCTTTGTTGAATTGCTTAATTCTATTAGGAAAGCCTCTAAATGAAGGAATATAATTCAAACTAGAAAACGCTAGAAATAAATTTTTGTTCTTCACACATTCTCTGTAATTTTTCCCTAATAGCCAAACTGTTATTGCTGAAAGCTATTGCTTTTTAATGAATAATTTATTTGGTGACTTGCATTAAAAACAGCTATCTCAGCCTTACATAAATGGACTTTAACCATTGTAAGACATAAGCAGGAACACCTTTATATTCTTTACGATTAGTAAATTTAATTCTTCTCTGAATTTTCTGCCTCCTTTCCTTATAAGATTAGTTTTTAAAAAGACTATTGTGATTGTGAAAGACTACATTTTTTGTTGCTGTTGTTGTTTCGATCACCAAAACTTCCATTAATTGCTTGAGTAGACACTTGAACAGTAGTTTGGCACTTTGAATTTAGAAAGCTACACCTAAGTAGTGTTTTTGAGATTCACAGAATCATAGAATCATTTCAGTTGGAAAAGACCTTTAAGATCATTGAGTCTACCTATCAACCTAAAAATGATACCAAATTATATTACCTAAGGAGAAGCTTTCATGAAAATTATCACAAGATCCCTCGACATCCTTGGAATTTAAATATGTCCTCAACTAGACTGAATACAGCTAAAGAAGGAAAGGAAAACTGGTTTTCCCTCTTTAGCCCCCTAATTATCAATTCCCAAACCAGACATGCTGCTTAAGTGGAGCTACAACCCATTATCTTTAGAAACTGTGAATCAGTGCATTGGAAGACAAACTCTTTCAGTGTCCCAGCACCTTAACTTTTAAGATCCATCATGTCTCTAAGGACAGAGTGCCCTCATATTCATCAGTTTTCTTAAAGAACTATTTCAGCTAAATCAGCACAGAAACAATTCCAAAATAGACTGCTTAAAATATAAGAGTCTACAAATGGAGAAATATGCAGGATGAAAATGAAAAAGTCAGTGCTTACCTAGAACTGAACTTTCACAGTGTCTCTTCCACTACAGGGTTCTTTTAATTAGCGGACAGACACTTAACAGTCTGTGTCCTAAAGACTGGGCTTCTCATGAAAATCTTTCCCCATTCTGGTTTCTTACAGAAGGGGATCACTGATTGAAGACCTTTTTATTCCCTTTGTATGGAAGGTTCTTCTGGTGATCTATTAAGATTTAAAGCTTCAGTCTTCCCCAGTAATTCCATAATACTTCTCAGCAGCAAAAGATTTGGGATCTTACTGTCATTTCATCAGTGTCTGTTTTCTCATGCTTTGGAAATGTAAATGGCTGAGTGTGAATCTTTCTGCCCAGGCAGTAAATAAAGACTGTTAACTAATGTAAGCAACCATAAGGCAAAAAACTATAACCACCTGTTAAGCAATATTCAAACCTGAGTGTTAAGCTTTCTCATACATTGACTCTAATACTCTATGCAGATTCATATAATGATGATTTATGCCATACACATGTGGATTTGACTCTTCACTATGAGACACAGAGTAATCTATTTGGGATTGTAAAGGACTTATGGATGACACCATAAAAGTATTTGTAGGGGGTATCACAGATGTGCATGCTTTGAAAGTCAGATCTAATTCTGTGAGCCTGTCTGCTGGTTCTCAGCCAAGTCAATTCTGCTAATATATTTGCCTTATGTGAATATTTGGAAATGGAACAGTATCTAATAACACCATTTAATTATTCCAACAATCTTATGGCTTTGGATTTTATTTGTTTTCAAGTGTCTTATCCTTTACTGAAACTTGTGTCAGCTAGCTGCCTTTTACCTGTTACCTGTTACCTTTACCATTCAATAGGCTTAATAAGAACAAACAACAATGAATAGTATGTAATTTGTATTTTAGCTCTTTAAATGTTAAAACAGAGCTTCAAAGTAAAATTAATAATCTTTGAACTATCACAGCAACTGGGAGAGGTGCCTGAGGACTGGAATAAAGCAAATATTGCTCCTGTCTTTAAAAAGGGCCTTCAAAAAGGAAGGAGGACCCAAGGAAATACAGGTTGGTCAGCCTCACTTAAGTCTCTGGGAAGGTGATGGAGCAGCTAATCCTGGAAAACACTGTCACATGCACAAAGGACAAGGATTTGATTTTGAATAGTGAGCAAGGATTCACACAGGGACAGTCAAGCTTGACCAACCTAATAACCTTGTATGACGAAATGACTGGCTTGGTAGACAAGGGGAGAGCAGTGGATATTGTCTACCTTGACATCAGTAAGGCTTTTGGCACTGTCTCCCATAGGATCCTCATAGACAAGCTGATGAAGCACGGGCTAGATGAGCAGTGAGGTGGACTGAAAGCTGCCTAAACTGCCAAGCCCAGAGGATGGTGATCAGTGTCAGGAAGTCTAGCTAGAGGCCAGTTACTAGCAGGCTAACTCAGGGGTCAGTATTGGTTCCATTTATCATCTTCATTAATGATCTGGATGATGCAACAGATCATTAAAGTTTGCAGATGGCACAGTGCTGGGGGGATATATAGAGGACCATCTTGCCATCCAGAAAGACATCAATAGGCTGGTTTTCTCCTGTCTCCTGAAGAACTGAAAGCACCTAGAAAGTGTTCTTGCAATATTACATTTCTTGAAAACAGCCCTCTGTATGAGATGCATGTCACTTAAACATCAAGGGCATAAATTATACAAATATTCCAGGGCATCTTTGTATAATTTATTGGCTATCTATGAAATGTACTCAGAATTTCCTCTTCACCAGGCCTAAACAGCTTCACACAAACCTGGAATCAAGGGGGGGTTGTTTGTTTCTCTGCTTTCTGGAACTCATCTTGGCTATTCTCACTCCCAACTGATTTCCATCTAGACAAAAATGATTTTAAAAGATCAAAAACAATTTAAAAGATTTCTCTCTTTTTGTGAGAGGA